TAAGGATTGTGAGGATATTAGTAGATTTGGATGGATTAAAGAAGGGTATAGGTAAAAATGACAATATCGTGGATATCATTGGATTTGGAGCGAGGTATTGGGAATATCAGAAAAATGCTTTTAACCTTCTGCTTCACATATCCACATTAATCTCTCAATATCCCTCCAAAACCACTAATATCACCCTTAAGCTAAATTCCTCATTCCCTTTAATCCCTCCATATCCCCACGATTAAGATTTTTAAGAAATAAAAATTAAAAAAAAGGGTGCTGATCAAAAGTTCGTAGTAGGTTTCAGAATAGTTCTTTACGGTCTTCAGGGGGTGTATTTAGGTCTAGAAGGTATAGGTAGGTCTCCAAGATATGTAGTTCTCTCTGGGTTTTTCCATCCAAAATTTATTTAAAATTTTTAGTTTATCTTCTGAAGACGCTTGGTTTATTAATTTATTTGATGGCGTTGTGTATAGTAATTTTTGTTAGCATGCCAATGTTAATGTTGTGTTTACTTATTGTAAAGTTGGCTTTAAATTTTGCAAGGATATATTTAAATATTTTATTAATTAAAGTTCTTATAATTCGTCTATTCCTCTTATTTATTAAATTTGTACTTAAATCGATTATTTTTTGCCTTAAAAACTTTAACAAAATTAGGGCTTATTTCATATGTAGAATGTATATTTATATTTTCTGTGCCGTAATTTGTATGACTTTATTTTTTCTAATTTTATATAATTTATATAAATACATTTAAAATAAAATTAAAATTTATATTGGGAATTATGATATATTATAGTAGTGTTTCGCCGGAAGTTCCGGGATTTTTTGATTCCGGTTCTGATTCCGGCCCGCAACCAAAGAATTAGATCCGGATCCTGTCAAAATTTCAGTTCCGGTTCCTGCCAAATTTGCGGTTCCGTCGAAACACTAGTATGTAGTATACAATTAATTGGATTGTTTTGATAAATGTGAATCCATTAGATTTTTTAAGAGGATTAAAGTATGTATTTATGGGCTATTCCAAAGGGTGAAGGGCAAAACTTTAAATGACAAAACTCAGTCCAGACAAACAACCGACAAAACTACGTCTTTCCCTCTGTAAAAAATAAGCAGCATTGCTCGAGCCAAAATAACACCAAGCTTTCGAAAATGCATGTTATGGTCGGACAAGTTTTGTCTTACAGAGTTTTGTCGGTCGAAGTTCTGCCCTGATAAATATGCTGACAAAGTACAGATTTTTAAGAGAATCACACATACTTCCCTCACCAATACTTGCCTCATCAATATTTCCCTCACTACATTCTCAATCAATTTTCTTCTTCCCCTCACCCATTAAAAAGGCGGAGAAGTTGTAGTTGTTTTTAAAAGGTTGTCTATTGAACAATTTGAAAGATTCGACAATCCTCAGAACATAAAACGTAGCCAGTCAGGTTGCCGTGTTATCAAAAAGTAACCAGAAAACCCCAACTATGAACCGAATCTAATATTACCAAAGTTGTAGTCTGGGGTACTATATAGTCGGATCCTGGAAATCCCCGGATATCCAGTCAGATCCGAAAATTCCCGGATGCCTTTAAGCTAATCACAAAACAAGTGGCTGTTGTTTTTGAGTCCTAACCAAAAAAGGAAAATATCAAAATAAAAAATGCTTGGATCGAACTTTGACTCACGTTCCAAATCTCCCGATAAATATCGAATTTATAAAATTGAATAATTTTCGATTTTGAATTTTATATTTTTCTAATCTCTAGATTCACATGATATAATTTATTTAAATTTAGAAAAAATTTAAAACACCCTAAACCAATTCCAACAATTATTTTTTTAATAAAATTTGTTAATTATTACCCAGAAGAATTATTGTAACAAATGGATGTTGGAAAAATATTAAATTTTTTAAATAAATTTTCTCTTCTTTCTGAAATTTTTTATAAAATTTCAGAAAATAGTTTATTTAATGAACAGGTTAGTTTTATCGTCATAGATTTGGGGAGAAAATAACAAAGGCAAAATTTGTAACCGTTAACATGGCTTTATTAAAATATTCAACAAATCTTTTAACCGAAATTTACTAAAATTGTTGTCAAGATTTTGGTTGGGGGCCGATCCAGCCCGGTCCGAAAGATCGAGTCAGGCGGTATCGATGCTTGATCGGCGAAAGATCGAGTCAGGCATTAATTTTGGCCCGAAAAAGACTCGGTCGGGCCGGCTTGATAAAAATGCGACCCGAAAAAATGACTCGAACGTCAGCCCGACTCGAAAACTTCAACTCTAGTCAAGATCACAGGATCGATACTTGATCGGCGGCTAAACTTCTGATTATTTTCGAACAAAACAAAATTTAACATAAAAATATTAAATTTTTAAAAGAGAGAATTATTGGCCGATGAATTTTCAAAGAGTAAGGAAAGTATTGCAGTGCTTGTTTTTAACATAAAGATTGAGCTTTCAACTATGTATATTAATGTTCAAGATATAGGTGCGTATTTAATATTTTGGGTAAATTAAATTTAAATAACCAATAATGGGAAAAATAGAAATAACGGAAGATAGTAAGGTAATCGTGTCGTTTACAGACTCAGATTTTTCCTCCCCAAGCTTTTTCTCCATATTTGTACAGAAAAGTCAGACTTTTAATGCCAATAAGTTCCTAGTATATGTATTAGAATAAATGGTTAGGTACTATGGGTCTGTAGCATAACTCTGGTAAATAGGGCCTACTATTCCCAAAAAAGATTTTACATGAATAAGTTAACATATTGTAAAAAAGTTGTGATACAACTCGCATTAGGTCAGTCCGTATTTTTGTGAAGGATTAACACAATGGCCGACTTAAACGCTAATCGCAACAAAAAACGGTACTTTTCCGTTCTGCCACACCCCCCTAAATTAATGTTCAAAATGTCATGTATACCCCCAATGCGAAAATTTAGAAGATTACCCGAAACACGATCCGACCTTTTTCTCATACTGTCCCCTCCCTAGTAGGTATGGGCAGCCCCCTACCCATTAATTTAACTTGAAATATTCTTTATTTTTACAGTCTTCTATATTGCCGTTCAATTATGCTTGTTCTGTATAATAATTGTGTTGGGTGTATCAATTATTTTAGTTATTATTGCCATTTGTTTCTGCATTGGATTATTCCTTCTTGCAATTCCAGTATATATTTTAGTGCTAATCTCATATTGGTTAAAGCGTATTTGTGTACGAATATTTGGTAATACTTTGGTTTAGACCCCCTACTATTTTTCTATTTCGCTGACCATTTTGAGTCTTTTTGCTTAATATACATATAATTTATTATAATTCTCGTGGGCTGGGTCGAATGAAATCAGTATCAGTAGAGTTAATAAGGAGCTAAATGGGTAATTCCAAGGCTGGTCCCCCCCCCCTTTTTTCCCTTTCCAATTTTTTCGATTTTTAAAACTTTTTATGGCAAATTATATATCGTTCGAAAGAGCTCTTCAAGCTGAGTCGAACGGTACTAAATTCATCGAAATCCGACTTAAATAAACATAGTTATGACCATTTGTTTTAATCGCTTTCAAAATCACAAAAAGCATGTCCATCGAGGATTTAGCTTCATAATTCTGCTCAGAATCTCCAAATCGAACCGATCATAGTATCATTCTACTTAGCTCGAACAGCTCTTTCGAATGATATATTGTAAATTATATGTCAAACAAAAAAGCTCAAAATGGTCAGGGGAACAGAAAAAGGGGGGGGGACCAGCCTTGGAATTACCGCTAAATGAAATGAAAAAATATAAAGGAAAAAAGTAAGAGGCTAAAGCAAAGTATTACCGAATATTCAAATTGTTATCAACTACAAAACGTTATTCCACCAATTTTTTAAATTTTATTAAACATTTAATGTAGTTTTGGTCAAGCCCAGTTAATGTTGCCGTGGCCTAGAGACGTCCAAGACTTTTGATCTTTAGTCTTTTATTGGGGTTTTTCGTTCTTGGTTTTAGGGTCAAATCTCGAAAAAATTTTCGGTTTTGGACATCTCTACCAGCGCCCTCATAATGCCCCCTCAAGCTAATTAAATTTTAACGTTCTCTGATAAAATTTTTGTATTTATTGCTAAATTTTTTGATGGAGAAAATTTGATCAAAAGTGGCATGACTTTTCGTCAAAAGACTTTCCGTCAACGGACTTTTCGTCAATGTTGAATGTTTTTCTAATTTTGGAGAAAGAGATAAATTAAAATATTAAGTTGCAGAGGCAACAATTTCAAAAACAACCACACATTAAAGAACAATTTTATCAAACAAAAAATATTCCTACTATATAGATACATACAATAACTAAAAACCCTAACACATTTTACTTACAAAATCATTCTATATTTAATGTCCATGTCGAATTCTTGGATCCCAACGACAACAACCTCCGTGTTTAGACGACAGAACCTTAATCATGCCTTCTAAGACGGCAATTTCAGCATACGGAAATAAATCCGAAGAATTTTGCGAATCGTCATCCTTTTCCAATTCCTCCGGAAAGGTGTTCCAATGGAGAAAAATAATACGAATAAGATCATCTTCAAAACGAACACCAATATCAATTGAGATAAGCGGATTTTTGTTCTCGAATAGCAACAAAAGCATTGTTGGATTGAAGATAATATTGTCAAATTGAACTTTTTTGAAAGAACTATTCAATAAAAGTTTATCCAACCAGCAACGCCAGAGAAGCAATTCTTTGATATTTTTTGGAATATAAGGCAATTTTAAGAGAAGACGTTGGGACAAAGTGTCATCTGAAAATATTTAAGTCATTATTCACAAGAATAAGACATTATTATTGAGAGATACAGAGAATCAATTTGACTTGAAAATTAAAAATAAGCTCGTGCTTGGAATTAGACAGTGGCCATTTCCCTCTTATTAATGAAAGGAGAATCTTCGAGAGCGAACTCTTTTACCTAGAAAGTAGTGCTGGCGATAAACGCCTGCTCGGGATTTTCTTTCTTATGCAAGAGGCTGAAGACTTTGTCTAAATTGAAAATTCACCTTCTTCTTCACCTTCCTTTTCAGTCAAACAAATAGCAAAATTGACAATGTAAGGCTCCTTTGATTTGTAAATTTCAGAAAAACAATACATTGGAGTTTTGTTATCGACAGCAACTTGCCACTGAAAAATTAAAGAAAAATTAATATTTGGTTAAATTCAAGTCAATTAGAGTTTACTGAAGATATAGCTTGAAAACCAGACCCACAAGAACATCTTGGGCCGCAAAGTTCGGCCAAAACCTTTCTTTGGGGAATAGAGACCATAATCAAGGAAAGGACCCAACTCAGGAGTTAAAAGTCAGCCCAGCCCCAAACTTTTAAAAATCCCTCACCTTCCCCTCAAGTTCCTTACTCAACTCAAAACCACCAGCCAAACCAATATCCTCTTCATTTAATTTTAAATATTTGTTCTTGTCATTAACCGATTTATACACAATTGTCTCAAAAGAATAAAATTTCTTCTTTGCCAATATCCCAATATATTTATCAATTAATGAACAGAAATAGCTATTTGTTTGTTGAATAGAGGATATTTGGTTAAAGTTGAGATATTTAAATATGTCCAGATGGACTTCCACTGGCAGAAGAAGAATATTCATTTTTGTTTTGGCGTTTTGTTTATTTGGGGTTGGTTTGTAGAAAGTGAGGGAAAGATAAGAAAATAAGCCTTTTATAGTATCCAACATAAAAATAAAAAAAAGTCAGAATAATTTTATCAAAAAAGTCTGCCTAGAAGGCAAATGAAACGTAAAAAACGTCAAAGAAGACAATTGTTTTTACTCATTTTATTTGTTCAAACGAAGAACCAGCTCTCTTTTACTTCGAGACCGAACTGTGCAATTTGGGAAAAAATTTTTTGGCGTTCTGTATTTTTAATTTTTTAGTGGAAATTGAAGCATTTAAATTTCTTCTCTATATTAAAAGTTGGAATTTAAATTTGGGGAAAAATGGAATTTAAAATGAGTTGCAATTTGAAAAAATTGTTAGGCTTTAAAAGTTAAAAGCCAATTATTTAATAAATAAAAAATATTTTTGTAAAAAATTTTTTTGAGAGTAATAAAACGATTAACTTGTCTGTTTAAATTTTCTGAGAAATGGGTAATTTAGCCGACATTCAAATATTTTTGCTTTAGAAAAAATTAAAAAAAATATGTGAAAAATTCTTTGGATGGAAGATGGAATAGAACCTCTAACAAAAATAATCCTAAACGGAAGTACACCCAATTGTGCCACCATTCAACCCGATGATTGTAATGTAATTACTTGCCATTTACCTATAAATATTCTTTCAACTTAAAAAATTATCCTTCAATAAAAACATTTTATGTTTGTTTTAAAATTTTTAGTAACATTATATTTTCCAAAACTTTATTTTTTCCGAATTTATATAGTCAGGGTTGTTGTTTTTTTTGTCTCGGGTTGAGAAAATTTCGGGTTAGGCTTCGAGTCGGGGTTTAAAATTTTCATTGGATCGGGTTTCTGGTGAAATAAAGACCGAGTTTCTGGACGTTTGTACTAGGGTTTCACCGGAACCGAAATTTTGACCGGAACCGGATCCAATTTGAGTTCCGGATAGGGTTGTACCCCGTTCCCGAAAGTCGGGGAATTCGAGAGATTTTTTGAAAATTCCCCGTACCCCCCCCCCCCCCCCCCGTGGCGCTGCCTCTCCGAAAATTTTCCCTGTGGCCCTCCCCCCTCCCCCCGCCGGAGAACAACCCTAGTTCTGGATTCCTGAACCGGAACCTGTTGTGAAACAGATTAAACATTACCCATTACTATTTGAGAGAGATACACCTCATTAAATACCTTTTATAGTATACAAAATTGTTGTTGAAAAATTTTTGTTTAAATTTTGTAATGATTCGACAAATAATTCGACAAATATACCTAATGATTCTAAAAATATTCCTAATTATTCTAAAAATATTCCTAATGATTCTACCAAAAAAAAAACCAAAATTTCCAAATGAATTATTGGTCGAAATAATTTATTTTATTCATGGATATCCTATACATGTATTGGAGCAAATGGGATATGAAAGAAGATTAGATCTTTTTACAAGATTTAGTTTTGTTTGTAGACTTTTTTACAGAATTTTAGGACATGGCTTATTATTGAAACAGGTCAGTTTTAATGGATATACATATTTAAGAGGAGCAGGCCGACGTACCACCTACTATTATATGGTCCATAATTGTAGTATAATTCTTTTCGGTCTCAATCAGAGGAACAAAATTCATAAACAAGAATACAAAAATTAAAAATTTTACGTTTGCTGAGATTTTAACAATTTTTCCTTTCAAAATTAAATATTTTCACACTTGATTTTGATTTCAAAATTGAGAATTTATTTCTTAAATACATATTAATTGTGAAAAACTGTAAAAAATCTTAATTTCGGCAAAAATTTGTCAAAATTTTCTCCTTTGCGCAAAAAATGGAAGAAAAATTCAATGGAAAAAAAATCGGGTTTTAGCTTTTGGAAAATTTCATATGTTGGGTTTTGGGTTGAAAACTCGAGTCCTGGACTCCAAAAAATCAAAAATTTTTTAAATTTTTTACATATTTCTTATGTACGAGAAAGTACGAGGTACGAGGTCAAAGATAGGGCTGGTACGAGTATGAGGTAAAAAGGCCTGTACGAAACTAGTACGAGCAAATTTCAAAATTCCAAACACAGATTTTAACTTTTTCAATCATAAGGGTAATGTTTTAAGGAGACCATGGGGTGGGTGATTGCTTAAGGAGACGTCGGATCATTTAGGCTTACAACAATTTAAAATTTAATATTTTAAGCGTGAAATAACTAGATTTTATGTTCCTCCCTTAGTTCGTCCTAGAATCCAAGAAAGATCAATTTGCTATAATATGACATTTGGATTATTATTCTTTTTCATTAGAGGCTTGAAAAATATTTTTGGTATTTAATTTTAATTTTAAAAACAAAGGAGAGAATTTTGCTTAAAAAGGACAAACATAAAATTGTAAAGGAGACATTTAGGCTAATTTTTTGATATATCAAATGTTTAAAATTTTGGCCAGATATTTTCTTCTATAGTTTCTTTTAGTGTTGTATTTGGGGTATAGTGTTGATTAGGGTTGGCAGCTCGCTCGAACCGAAACTCGAAAGATCGAGCGAGCCAAGGCTTTCGAGCTCGAAAAGCTCGAAAACGAACCGAAAACAACCAAGCTCGAAAAAATGCACCGAACGTCGGCTCGAATCGAAAACGGCAACCCTAGTGTTGATATTGCAGATACCGTAAATGCTCTAATAGAAGCACAGTGCTTGTATTTTTCGATCCTCTCGTAGGGTGTGCTTATATTAGAGACTGTGCTTCAATTAGAGACTGTGCTTGTATTTTTCGATCCTCTCGTAGGGTGTGCTTATATTAGAGATGTGCTTCAATTGGAGATGTGTTTTTATTAGAGCATTTACGGTATATTCTATTACAATTCAAAAAATTATTGTTTTTAAAATTTTTAGGAAATTTTGGGAAAATTCTAAATCCTTTTTAAAATCAAAAAAATTCAAATAAGATATAAAAAAAATTCCTTATTGTCACGGGGTTCGAACCTCCAACCCCTATAAACTGCAGTCAACAACACTACCACTACACCATTAATAAGATCAACTTAAAACAAAGAAAATAAAGGGAAAATAATGTGGGAAAACACCCTATGAAAATTTTTAGTTAAAATAATTCAAAATAATTCTCTGAATTTTTTTTCTTGGACTAATTATTTAAAATTTTTAGTGTGGTATTTAACACTTATCTCGTTGTCGTTTAATGGATTGGTTTTTATAATAAAATATACGATTATTACAATGTGTGCTATCAGTATAGCTGTTATATACTTCTGTTTTAGCCTGGCTTTTGACTTTTTTATTTATATTATTAAAAGTTTCATACTTCGACTTAGAGCCTTTATTTTTGGCCGTTTTATTTGAATATGTAATTTGGGTATTTTATTAACATCCCGCCCCATCCCTATTTGAGTCTCAATTTAATTTTCCCTTTTTTTACTGTCAATAATTTTTCCCTCAAATATTATAAGCGGAAAGGGCAACGCAAAAATCGACCTAACGAAAAAAAATCAACGTTTATAAAGCAGGAAATTTAACCGTTGCTAGACAGGGAAAAATAAACCGAAAATTAATCTGAGACTCAAATAGGAGTACGGGGAGGGGTATTTTTTCGGAGCAGTTCAACTGAGTCCCGGCCCTATAACTTAGCAAGAAACAGTCAATTTTTTATTTTCTTGGTATAATTCAAAGCTCTATAGAATCAAAAGCTCTATAACATTTAAAAAAATCAGAATTTTTGACCGATTGATAAAAAAGTTATGATTTAAAAACTAACTTTTTCAAAAAAATCTGATTTTTCGACACTTTATCGATCATAACTTTTTTACCAGTCGGTCAGGAATTTTGATTTTTTGGTATATTTTAGCCTATTTAATTCCCTATCCAATGGTACCAAGATTAACAAAAAGTAACCATCCCTTCATAAGTTATAGAGTCCAGGACTCAATTGAGTCGGGACCCGTATTTTTTATTTTGGTATATGGCCATTATTTGTTGTCTTTTGCTATACTTTTTTTTTATTTTTTACACAAATGCATTTAGAATCAAAATAAAATTTTATCTTGGAAAATTATGATTTATGTACTATCTAATTATATAATATAAGGGAAATTTAAAACCCTCCTGATCCTTCAATATCACGTTCCCATTCCCATATATTCCATTTAATCCCCCATATCTGACATCACTTTTAACCACCCAAATCCCTCGATATCCCGGGGCTTGGTCGAGAAATCCATCAAACCATCTAATTTTTAGAAATGTGAAAATGCAGATTTTTCTCTGCTCCGTGTTTTGATCGTAAGCCAGGTCTGTGCGTCAAAGTTTTCACGTGGCGCGCCAAACGCCATTTTTTCAAATTTTTAAATCATGCCAAACACAAAACGCCAAAAATCGGTCAAAATGGACGCCAAACGCAAAACGTCAAACGCCATGGCGCACAGCCCTGATAAAGACCGCGACGTCGTTACATGACTTGTCTGTTCTTCCTCGCCCCCACCCCATAAATATACTAACAAGTTACAATTTTTAAGAGAATCACCAATACTTCCCCCAATACATTCCCAATAAATTTTTTTCTTCGGCAAAATAGCTCTACATTTTCTAGAAAGTTCTATAAATAAATGCAGCAGAGTGTACAATTTCCAAATAATAATTTCCAAATTCAAAAATTTTTAAATTGAAAGGGCTATCTATCGAACAATTTGAAAAATTCGATGGCCCGACTATAAAAAACTATCAAATAGACATAGTCAAAGTTGTCGGCATATCAAAAAGTAACCAGAAAACCCCGAGAAAAATTATGAAGTTAAAATCAAGGTTGTCGGATAGTTGTAAATCTTCGGATATCTGGATCCGATTACCCGTACCGAAATTTTCCGGATAGCCGGTCTTTTACGGACAATTCGAAAATCAAATAATAGCTCATTCGACTCAGCTCGACGAGCTGAGTCGAATGACACCAAGATCAGCTCGATATCTTGATTCTGAGCCAAGATAAACAGGTTCAAAATGGTCAAGGTAAACCTATGGGGCGTAGGTAAGGCGCTTGTGCAAAACCCCGCGCTTCGCGCGGGGTTTTGCACAAGCGTCTCGCGAGGAGTCTACGGGCGCTGGGTCTGGGCTCGTAACATAAACCTATTCCTATCTCCCTTGCTCTGGATGTATTTGGGGCCTCCGTAGCAGCAAAAACCTCCATGGAGAGCATAGGTAAGGAGCTAAAACAAACGATCATAACTTTGTCCAATCAAGTCGGATTTCGTTGATTTTGGTGTCATTCGACTCAGCTCGTCGAGCTGAGTCGAATGAGCTGTTATTTGCATTTTCGAATTTTTCAGCCCGAAATGAGCTTACTCCCCCCTTCTCTTTTTCAAACTTCAGGGGTCTGTAACTCGGTCCCTGGTTGTCGGATCGACTTCCCCCGTATCTAGTTCGACTCAGTTTTCGAAGCTCTTTCGAATGACACCTCATTTGTCGAAATCGGTTCAGAAACAAAAAACCGGATATAAGTCACAATACCCGCATGGGGAATTAATCGAGGGAGGGGAATTAATCGAGAAAACACGGTAGTAGTATAATTTACTAGAAATTTAGAAAATGGTTTTTAACTACATAATTTCCAAATTGCTACATGTAAAACAACCTAAACCAATTGCAACTGAATTAATTTTTGAAATAATAAAATTTGTTAATAGTTACCCAGAAGAATTATTGGATCAAATAAATATTGGAGAAAAATTAACTTTATTTAAAAGATTTTCTTCTTCCTCCAAAATTTTTTATAAATTTTCAGGAAATGGTTTATTGAATAAACAGGTTAGTTTTAAAAAATTTGGGTCAGAACGTATAAATAGGAGGAGGAATTTGAACTTTTATAGTAGGTTGATATTTTAAGATTCCATATTTTGAGATTCGATACTTTTAACATGCGATGTTTTGACCGGCACGACGAATATCAGCGACTCAACGGGCTCTTTCGAATGAGCTATCATTTGTATAGATTTTCGTCTTTATGATTTTGTGCCTCTGTGGTTTAGGGGTCTGTATTTCAGTCAAATCAAGTCGCATTTTGTTGATTTTGGTGTCATTCGACACAGCTCGATGGGTTCTACAATTGTTGTCAGACTGACCATTTTTACATATTTTCCAAAAAAATTGACGGGGGGGGGGGGGGGGGGGTAAATATGTAAGTACCCGGCTAAACTCACAAATTGTATCTTGGAACAAAACAAAATTTACCATAAAAATATCAAATTTTAAAAGAGAAAATTACTGGCTGATGAGCTTTCAAAGAGTAGTGAAAGTTTTGCAATGCTTGTTTCTATCTTGAAGCTTGACCTTTCAATTATTCGCACTTTGGTTCAAAATATAGGTGGGTGTTTAATGGATACACCCAAACTATAACTTCATTCAAAAGATTGACAAGGAATGGGACTGAATGAGAATGGAATAGAGTGAGAAGGAAGTCGGTTTGGGTCGAGTTTTGGGTCGAAAGGTTCCGGCTTTGGGTAACCCATGCTATTACATTCCTGATACAGACTAAAATAAAGGGCCGGTCATTTTTCGACCCAGAATTATATTTCTTCGGGTTAGGGTCGTTTTGGCGTCGGACCGTTTTGGCGCGACAACTAAAAACTGGTAGCTAGGCGAGAGACCTAAATTAATAAAAAAATTTTACATTTCTTTAACATCCTTGACTACCTGCTCCAAAAATTTCAGAATTTTTCATCAAATATTTCTGAAGTTATAGTCGATAAACCTCGAAAAATTAGGCATTTTTCAGAAAATCAACGTTTTTGGCCATGATTTTTAAAACTTGCTCAAAAATTCTGAAATTTTTGGTGAACTTAGATAAAGGTACGAGAGTTATTATTACAAAATTTTATTATTTTTGATAATCAACTCGCTATCTTATAAGCTCGCGCCAAAACGGCCCCGCGCCAAAACAGCCTCAGTCCCGATTTTCTTCTCAATCCATTCTCATTTAGTCACATTCAATGTCAATACTCTATCCACTAATTTAACTTTTTTTTACAGTTTTTTATCTTGCCGTTCTATTATCCCCGTTTTGTATAATAATTCTATGTGCTGTATTTATTATCTCAGCTATTATTGGCTTTTGTTTCTGCATTGGATTGTTCCTTCTTGCAATTCCATTATGTCCTTTGGCGCTAACCTTATATGGCTTAAAGCGTGTTTATGGAGGGATATTCAAATTGCTATCAACTACAAACCGTTATTTCGTTACGGAGACAACCACAATTACGGAGACAATCGACAAACAATAAAATACCGTGTTTCCTCTAATGCCCGGCCATTCTATTTTTCGATCGCCTTCCAAAGGGGCATTCTATGTGTACTTCCAAAATTTTTGATTATTTTCGTTCCTTATTTAATTCTCTATCATTTAAGCTTTATTTTATCTTTTTATTATTTATTTGAATAAAGTTACACAATAAATAAAGCAACCCGGTCACTTTTTTGTCACGCTGTACAAAATGCCAACAAAAATGTTTTGATTTAAAAATTGGATACTATAAAAGCCTTATTTTCCTTTAATCTTCTCTTTTCTAAAAAAACAAAACGCCAAAACAAAAATGAATATTCTTCTTCTGCCAGTGGAAGTCCATCTGGACATATTTAAATATCTCAACTTTAACCAAATATCCTCTATTCAACAAACAAATAGCTATTTCTGTTCATTAATTGATAAATATATTGGGATATTGGCAAAGAAGAAATTTTATTCTTTTGAGACAATTGTGTATAAATCGGTTAATGACAAGAACAAATATTTAAAATTGAAGGAAGAGGATATTGGTTTGGCTGATGGTTTTGAGTTGAGTAAGGAACTTGATGGGAAGGTGAGGGAATTTTTTAAGATAGATTGGGCTGGGGTAGTTTCTCCACCCAATGTCTAACCAAATCTTGAAGAAAATCTTGAATCTGGTTCAGAACTAATTTTCGAATCTGACAAAATATCAATTTTTATTTTTCAGTGGCAAGTTGCTGTCGATAACAAAACTCCAATGTACTTGTTTTCTGAAAGTCTCAAATCAAAGGAGCCGTATATTGTCAACTTTGCTATTTGTGTGACTAAAAAGAAGCCTAAAGGAAAAGGTGAATTTTTAATCTATACAAGTCTTAGGGCCAGGATTATCTGGGTTATCTTCTGCCTCGTTAAAGCCTTTGAGTATTTCGTTTAGGGATAATAAATTTTTGGCTAATTTGCAGGATCTTTCAAAAAAAGTCCTTACTCTTGATCAGATAACTCGTACAATCGCACCTTTAAGCGCCGATTGATCGTGCGTTCAATCTAGGGTATCTCCCAGTACCCCGACGATTTTTTGACAAAAACATCGACCCGAATCCCCAAGTCTCTAACCCGCCAAACCCCGATCCCCGACGATCCCGACCACTAAGGCTGAGGAGCTACCCTAGTTCAATCTATACCAATAAATACCCATTTACGCGTAAAGGTGCAATAACTAGGTTCCTGATTGTCAGATCGACTTCTTCCCCCGCGCGATCGACTCAGCTCGGCGAGCTTTTTTGAATGACACCTTAGTCGACTAAATCGATCCAGCCAACAAAAACCCCCTATAAGTACCCCGTATAATTTTGGAAGGAGTCAAAAAGTCTGATTTTTGCTATTAGTCTAAACAAATATTTTTCAGATGACAATTCGTCCCAACGTCTTCTCTTAAAGTTGCCTTATATTCCAAAAAATATCAAAGAAATGCTTCTCTGGCGTACTTGGCTGGTTAGACTCTTATTGAATTGTTCTTTCGAAAAAGGAATAATTAGATTGGAGGATATCATCTTCAATCCAATAATGATTCTGTTGCTATTCAAGAACACAAATCCGCTTATTTCATTGGATATTATGTTTATGGAGAGTGGTTCATGCACGGTTGGCTGCCAGTTTACTTCTCGAATGCATCCAAACTTTTCGGAGGATTTGGAAAAGGAGAATGCTTCGCAAAATTTTCCGTGGCTTCACTATGCAGAAGTTGCCCAGTTAGCGTGTCGGATCTTCTTGCCGCGAAAGGATGAGTCTAGTTGTGTCCAAAAGCTCGATTTTTTCTTTGTTTCAAGATTTGGATATACTAATCTTATGCCTATGTATTAGGCTTTATTTGTGTGTAAATATAGGGGAATATTTTTTGTTTGATAAAATTGTCTTTTAATGATTTATTTGTTTTTATATTTGTTGCAATTACAAATTAGTATTTCAATTAATTTTTTTTGTCACACAGAGTCGCCAAATAGTGATATCAAAGTTCCAAAATTTCTCTGGAACTAGTTCCAGAACCAGGTTTTTAATTTTTGTAGTTCCAGTTCCTGAACTCCATTTTTGAAATTCCTGAGTTCCAGTTCTGGAACTAGAACTAATTAGTTCCGAAACTTGAACTTTGACATCGCTGACGCCAATGAGTATCGACCCGCGCTGACGCCAATGAGTATCGACCAATGCTGCTAAGTGAACCCGGACCGGGAATTCCCGATCTCGGTTTCATCCCGGCATCTTCAAAAAATGCCGGGAAAAAGGACTGGATACTACTATAAAAGGCTTGCTTTTCCCTTCATTTTTATTCTCGTTCTAAGCTAACCCCAAAAACAAAACGCCAAAACAAAAATGAATATTCTTCTTCTGCCAGTGGAAGTCCATCTGGACATATTTAAATATCTCAACTTCAACCAAATATCCTCTATTCAACAAACAAATAGCTATTTCTGTTCATTAATTGATAAATATATTGGGATATTGGCAAAGAAAAAATTTTATTCTTTTGAGACAATTGTGTATAAATCGGTTAATGACAAGAACAAATATTTAAAATTGAATGAAGAGGATATTGGTTTGGCTGATGGTTTTGAGTTGAATAAGGAACTTGAGGCGAAGGTTGGAGATTGATAAAATTTTGGGTCTTGTCCCCGACTAATTTTTGAATCCGGACATGGACTGGATTCTTGCTAGGTCTTTATTTAAGGGTACACACCAGGGTTGCCGCGGGTACAAAAAATCTTCGGGTACGGGTTTCGGGTATCGGGTTGGAGCGTTTTCATTTCGGGTCACGGGTTTCGGGTTGGCAAAAATATCGGGTACGGGTTTCGGGTTGGAAAATTTTCAATTCGGGTAACGGGTTTCGGGTACAAAAAAGGCCGGGTTTCGGGTTTCGGGCGGCAACCCTGGTACACACGAAACATTTCGGGTCAGATGTACCTCGAGCTGTAACCGTTAAAAATTATCGAATCCAGGAAAATTAAATTCATGGAATCGATCGAAGCGCACCGAACCATATCAGGACGTCCTTGATTCAATAATTTTGAAATAGCTTGGCGGTCCATTTAGCTCGCGGTACGTTGGCCTGCTCCCTTAACCAGTAAATATATCTAGTTACTTCGAAATCTGTTGCTGAGCAAATCCCAAAGGGGATCAAAAAGGGCGTCTATTCCCCCCAATTTCTGAATGAAAAAACTCTTGAATTGAGTTTTAATCTTTCTTTTCAGTGGCAAATTGGTATAGATTACAAAACTCCAATGTACTTGTATTCTGAAATTGTCAAATCAAGGGAACCTTATATCACCAACTTTGCTATTTGTTTGAGTGAAGAAGAAGGTTACAAATTTTAACCAAAAATCCGAATAAATCATTTTTTATATTTTCAGATGACAATTCTGTTGGGATTGGGTTCCGAAGCCTTTCGAGGATTATACAAATTCTACTTTTTAAATAACTTTATTTACATCTAACTATTTACAAATTAAAATATATACATTAGGGAGGGAAAAGGGGACAATTACAAGAGTCTGGCCAGACCTGATAAAAACACTTCTAATTAGATATGAATGACCATTTTGGATGAGTATTTATAGGGGACATTAATAAGTCGAGATTGGCGTAAACAAGTGAATAACAAATATTAAGATAAGGGTCGGGAATTGTGATAGACTCTGATAACGGTCGGGATTCCTTTTAATATAGAAAGAGGTCAAAATATATGTGCCTGTGAATGCACGTGAATGCAACATTTATTTTTAGTTTGTTTATTTGATTAGGAGGAATACAGCATTCCTTCCCCCTTCGAAAAGAACGTCCACGTTCTACTTTTCGGGAAATTTGCTAAGGCTGCCTTTTTAATTAACTGCTTTTCTTTAAACTAACTTTCTCCGATTAAACGGGTGGCACAATAATTTTCCTTTAATAAGGGTAATTTAGGATTATTTTAAAATATTTTTTTAATTTAAATTCTCAAGACATTATTTTTATTTCTCATCGTACAATTATGAACGACGGTTTTTAAAAATATATTTCCTGACTTTTTTTTTAATTTTATATTTTTTCTGACCGAGCTTTATCATTAAAATTTTGATATTTTTTTTGTATTATATTTTAAATTTAGTATTGTTTCTCGCCTTTGTGACGCAGCGGATTTATTTTTACTACATTTAAGTAATTATTATAAAGGCTTTAATTCTCTTTCTAATGTATTTTTTGTTTACTTCTTTTAGCTCCATGATTGGGTTTTTTCATAATTTTTTTTTGCCAAGTTCTCCGACGAATTAAGTAAACACGGATGAGGATAGAAATATTACATTACAGAACTAATGATTATTTAGGGGATATTTTACATAGGTACAGAAAATTTTGGGAAAATAAACTGAAAACAAGGTGAGGGAAAGTTGGGATAATTAGCATAAATATAAGTATTAAACGAATCTTTTTTTAATTCAATCAAAGCTTTTTAAAAGAGCAGCAATTTTAGTGGGGCCAATTTTGTTTTCAAGTTGCAGAACAGATTTTTTGTTGATATGTAGATGTCAAATCTTCAGCTGACACTCCGTTGTTTTTTTGAGTTGATTTTACTGGAGGAGATTGTGTTGTTATCGTTGCTGGAAGTTGTATATTTCTGATGATTCTGTCGATTCTCCCAATTTTAAGCGGGGGATTTTTCTCTACTAGTTTTTCTCGGCTTTTGTTTCTCGGTTTTTTAGTTCCCTGTTTTAGGGTTTTGTACTTCCCTCTTCATTATTAAAAAAATTTTCTAGTCAAGTCCTTGTTTTTTTTTTGGAATGGGCTTTTGCTATTTATTAGAGATTTTTCTTTTTATTTTACTCTTCGTGCAGCTTTGTGTCCGGCTCAAGTTGATGATCGACGGCTATCTAAAAACTCACCTGACCCAAACTAGTTCACTATGTAAAAAAATTAGTGTTTTTCTCGGCGTGAGCATAGTTGATAGTACAGTTGATGATGCTTATGGTTATTTATCCTTGCCGGTGTCTTCTGATGATTATTATTTACTAGATTTTTATTTATTGTGACATATGATGACCCGTTAGAAATATCTCATTGTATCTTTTATCCCTTTTATTCAATGACTTTTTTGTACATAATATTTTTACTGAATTCACGATACCAGTTGGATGATAAAACGGGGTTTTTGGATGTGTAACTCTCGATTAAGTTTTATTTTTATTGAAAAGCCAGAATATATTTTTAAATGTGTCCGCCGCTAACTTAAAATTTCTTTTTTCCGTTTTTTTTTAATTGGGCCTCTTATAGATCTGCACGAATTTTTAATTTTTTGTTTTCTCGCAAGTAATTCAAATTTCTTTATTATTTTTTGATTTAAGACTGTTACTGTCTTTCAGAGTTTCAATTTGAATGATTACTTTATGTATCTAGGATTTTTTCACTAGAATATTTGTTGTCTCTATTTTTGCACTGGTCATGCGTTACTACTCAACTCTGTATAGAGATTCTGATTAAGCAATATTTGAAGCTCCTGTCATAAGATATACGGGGAACTGTGTGTCTCTGCAAAATTCCATATAAATTTTCGAAGTAAAAATACTCGGAATTATTTAGCCTCCTTGTGAGCTTTTAGGCTGAACCTGTTATAACTTTAAATAATAT